AGGCAGCAAAATACATGCCAGCAGGTTCCAGAGATCAGCATTTTCCTTCTGGCTTTTACAAGGTTGTAGATAAAGTTCTGCCTTCTAAAAACACGTCTCCCTTTGCCTCCTCCGCCCCATCCCCATCGTCCTCCTTCTTCAGCAAACACAATGTTGTTGCTGCTGATGAAAATGTCCTTTGTCTTGGGTCAGGACATTCCTTTCAGCAAACGCCTGGTGCCTTCCTCTGGAGGAGCTCCAAGTGCAAGACGCAGGGAGCTGTGAGTTAATTAAGTCTGAGCAATAATACACACCAGTTAGGACATTTCCCAGGCATTTTCACTCCACATGTGGAGAAAGAAAATCTCTTGAGGGTTGATAGGCGGGGCCTAGTACAGGCATGGGCAAACTAAGGCCCAGGGGCTGGATGCGGCCCCCTGGGTGCTTTCCTCAGGCCCTCCTCATTTGCCCTGTCCTCTTCGTAGAAGGACAAGGCAGCCTGCCATATCCTTATGCCAAAAAGATGGGAAAGGCACGTAGCAGCTGAAAACTCTCTGGAACACTCTCATCCATGGTGTGTCCCAGCATAACGATGGTGCAATCAGCACCATCTTTATGCCGGGAGGACAGCTCGAAGAAGGCACGCGGCAGCAGAGAACCCTCTGGAGCACTTTCAACCACTGCCTGTCTCGCCATCCTTCCAACATAATGCCAAGAGGACAGTCCAAGGATCAGGGGAGGAGATGTGGAGAGGGATTGGGGGTGGGGGGAAATTTGTGCAGTCACCAAGTGTCCCGGCTTTCTCCCAGCATAAGGATAGGGCAAACAGGAAAAAAATCTTATTTGGGAAGCAGTGCCCCTTTTTGCTCTTCCTGTAACTAAATTTCTGTGCCTTATTACCCTTTTATCCACATGGACATTGTGGACCGGACATTGTGGACCATGTGCACAGCTATCGTGTGCACATGGACGTGTTTTTTAATGTTCCCACAGCAAGAGCTCGCTGCCCTCAAGACCAATGCGGGACCAGGAACACCTCTTTTCAGGACTGTTGGGAGTGTTTGCCTCTGGAACGCTGCCAAGGATGTTGAAAGCAGTAAGTTGCATTAAACACAATATTTCAACCACACAAGAAGAGAGAAACAGAAACTGCAGGGTAGATAAGACAGCAGCAGCAACCAGTCACATCTGAAATTACTGCAGTGACCTTGACTGAAAGCCATTGTCAGGTGGGGAAGGCACGCCATCCAAGCGGAAGATGCCTTGGGGCCTCCAGAAGTCCCTTCCCTGCCCTGTCATTTCCAGAAGAAGAGCCACAATGTTCCTCTGCAGCCACAGGAATCTCCCTCCTAAACAGAGACCCAAGGCTTCCTAGGCTGTCAGAGAGAGCATACATGTTTTGCATGGCTCCTCACAGAAGTCTTTTGTTCTTGACAGGGCTTGGGTGTTAGGACTTGCTGGTGAGTTTTACACCTATGTAGTTCTTATAGGAAACACTTCTGTGTCTCAGTGCCCCACATCTCCAGAAACAACAGGAATCATAGAAGAATCATAAAGTTGCAAGAGACCTCGTGGGCCATCCAGTCCAACCCCTGACATGAAATAGGAAAATCGCATTCAAAGCACCCCTAACAGATGGCCATTCAGCCTGTTTAAAAGCCTCCAAAGAGGGAGCCTCCGCCACACTCTGGGGCAGAGAGTTCCACTGCTGAACAGATCTCACAGTAAGGTAGTTCTACCTCATGTTCAGGTAGAATCTCATTTCTCTCCTGTAGTTTGAAGCCATTGTTGCGCGTCCCAGTCTCCAGAACAGCAGAAAACAAGCCTGCTCCCTCCTCGCTATGACTTCCCCTCATATATTTATACATGGCCATCATGTATGGCCATGTATAAATATGCTATTCCCTCTACAAATGCATAACTCCACTGAGAGAGAGAAATTAAATGGAGGGACATATGTAAAAGTTGAAATGGCTCACTCCATTCCTTGCTACCCCGCCCTCTTTCTCATCCTTTCTCTTTGGGAAGAAAAAGGAAGATCATTGGGGCAAGAACATGTTTGCAGAGGGAGCGGGGAAAGGAAGCAAAGTAACAAAGTTAAGGAAGGAGATGGGTGAGCAAATGGGCACAGGCAATGGAGGGAAGTCCCTGGCAAAGTGCAAGAAGCCCTACCTCTATTTCAAAGGACTGCAGGCAGGCTGGGAGTAGGATAGCTGAAAACACATGCCATTTCCTTAGTAAGATTACCACCTCTTGAAACTCCAGGGCCAAATCTCTGAGGATTTCCCCTCTGGAGAAGAGCAGACAGATTTGCTTCCATTTCATGAACTTTCTTCACTTCATTTTACTCAATCCCTTCACTTTTCTCCATGATTCTCCTTTTCTGGAAACAACAGGTCAAACTCAATGGTGCTTGCCAGAATAATTAAGACATAAAAGAGTGCTTTTCTTCCCCACTTTGATCTCTGTGCCCCCCCCCCCCCCCCCGGTGGCACAGTGGATTAAACTGCTGAGCTGCTGAACTTGCTGAGCAAAAGATTGGTGGTTCAAATTGGGGAGTGGGGTGAGTTCCTGCTGTTAGCCCCACCTTCTGCCAACCTAGCAGTTCAAAAACATGCTAATGTGAGTAGATTAATAGGTGCCGCCCCAACAGGAAAATAACAGCGCTCCATGCAGTCATGTCGGCCACGTGAACTTGGAGGTGTCTACAAACAACATTGGCTCTTCACTTAGAAATGTAGATAAGCATCATTTCTAGACTTAATGTCAGGGGAAGGCTTTACCTTTACCATTGATCTCTGGCTAAAATAACAAGAGAAGTAGAGCAGCAATAGACAGCCAGGATGGCAACGCAGTTTGAGAGTCGGGACCATGGCTTCCAATCCCCGCTCGGCCACAGAAACCCACTGGATAACCTTGAGCAAGTCAAACTCTCTCAGCCTCAGAAGAAGGCAAAGGCAACCCCGCTCTGAACAAATCCTGCCTCGAAAACCCTGTGATAGGGACACCCTCTGTTCGACTGCAACCAGCAGACAACCCAAGAGCCTTGCTCTGAGGGGGGATGAGTTCAGAGAGTGAAACATAGCCAAAGGGGAAGGGCAAGGCAAGGTCTTGGGGTCTCCAGGCATGGTGTAGAGCAGGCCTGGGCAAACTTGGGCCCTCCCTCCAGGCGTTTTGGACTTCAACTCCCACAATTCCTAATAGCCTCAGGCCCTTTCCTTTTCCCCCTCAGCTGCATAAGCTGCATAATTCAAACACAACAGCACATTAACGCTCAGCTTCATTTTTGTTAACCTGAAGCTGTCATCCTAACCATGGACAAGGCTCTATATCAGGCATGGGCAAAGTTGGGCCCTCTAGCAGCTTTGGACTCCAACTCCCACAATTCCTAATAGCCCCAGGCCCTTTCCTTTTCCCCCTCAGCCGCATAAGCAGCTGAGGGGAAAAAGAAAGGGACCTGGGCTATATTGTGGAAGGTTTCCATGGCTGGAATCACTGGGTCATGTTCTAGAACTGTGATTCTCAACCTGAGGTCCCCAGATGTTTTTGGTCTACAACTAACAGAAATCCCAGCCAGTTTACCAGCTGTTAGGATTTCTGAGAGTTGAAGGCCAAAAACATCTGGGGGGGGGAGGTTAAGAACCACTGTTCTAGAAGCATTCTCTCCTGATGTTTCACCTGCATCTATGGCAGGCATCCTCAGAGGTGACCTCACAACCTCTGAGGATTGACCTCACAACCTCTGAGGATGCCTGCCATAGATGCAGGTGAAACGTCAGGAGAGAATGTTTCTAGAACATGGCCATACAGCTGGAAAGACCTACAACAACCCAAGGCCTGAGGCTGTTAGGAATTCTGGGAGTTGGAGTCCCAAACTCCTGGTGGGCCCAACTTTGCCCATACCTGGTGTAGAGGCAGGCAGTGGCCTGTGTTTTCCCTTTTTACTTCAGCCACTTCCAAACGGGATCAGCCGAGCTTTCGGGTGCCAAAGTCCTCCTAGGATGACCCCAGGGACACAGGGCTGGGAAATGTGAGCCAACCGGGAGACAGACCTCGGGATCGAGGAGGAGGAGGAGGCAACTTTCAGCGCCTGTTTGGAGGGAGAGGGGCAGAGAATGTGCCGGGGCCCTTGGGGTGGGGACTCCTTGACCACCACCCCACCCCCCAATCCCGCGCGGAGGGGGAGAGGCGCGCCAGGCAACAGCCGAGCTGTGTACTGCCGGAACAGCCGGCATTACATAATCCTGCTGAAAGTCGCTGCCATCCTGAGTTGAACCCCCCTCCTCTCTCTCTCTCTCTCTCTCAAAGCAAGGGGAAGGGGGGGGATCTCAGCATCAACACCGACACACAGCGCGGGAAAGGGGCTGCACGCCTTCCTTCACACAAACACACCTTGGAGAGATCAAAGAGGAGCCGGGAAAGAGGAGCTGCCTGGCCGAGGGAGGGACGGAGGGACGCAGTGCTTTGGAGGGACCCGGCCCTCCCTCTCCCTCGAAAGCACTGCGGGCCGAGAGAGGGAGGAAGCAGTCGGGGGGGGGGGCAGGGAAAGGGGCCGAGGGCGGAGAGGACACGGGTACACACTCACACACACACCGGCTACCTTTGGCAGGGCCATGGCTTCTCCTGGTGCTGTAGAGAGAGAGAGAGCCCAGCAGGAAACTTCAGGCAGGGGGAATGGGGCTTTCCTGGCCGAAGCAGCAATGCCAGCCAGCCAGCCTGGGTGCAGTCAGGGAGAGCCCTCGGCGTCCAGAACTTTCCTCCCTCCCTGGTTCCCTCCCTCCTTCCTTCCTTCCTTCCTTCCCTCCCTCTGCGCGCCAAGGGCTACCTGGCCAGGCTGCGGCTCCTCCTGCTTCCTGGCTCCCGGGCGCCCTCCTGCCCTCCTCCCCTCCGGCAGCAGCAGAAGGAGGAGGAGGAGGAGTCCGCGGGAGTTGCCCCCGTCCGACCCCGCTCCCAGAGGCTCCAGAGGCGAGGCTTCCTGCCCTCTAGCCCCTCCGCGCCGGGGAAGGGGAGCAGCCCCTCACCTCCTGCCCTCTCCTGCCTGGGCTCCGGGTGCGGTGCAAAGCAAATGCGCAGCTCCCCAGCCCCGCTTGGTTGGTTCCTTCCCGGTCCGGCCTCAAGGAGAGAGCAGGGAAGCCGAAGGGACGCGGGAGGGAGGGAGGGGCGCGAGGCACTCCTGGCTTAACCCCTTCGGGAAGGAGAGCTGGGGGTGGCGACGAGGCGAGGCCCCGCCGCAGTTTCTTCCGAGGCTTGGAGCCACCCCGTGTGCTCCATTCCTATTCGCCCTGCTCAGCCGAGCCCGCGTGCGCTTCGGCCACTCAGCGCAGCCCTCCCCCGCGGGACGGTGACGGGCCTCCTGCGCGTGGGCCTCCCGCGGGGGGCGGGAGGGGGAGGGGGAGGGGGCGGAAGCAGCGGCGTCACGAGGGGGGAGGAGGGGGTGCCAGCCACGCCGAGTGACGCCACCCAAAACCGTCACACCGGCGGGACTGCCACCCGGATCTTTGGGCAGTGCTTCAGCAGACATTTCTTAGTACATTCTATACATATGTGTGTGTGTGTGTGTCCCTTTAGGTAGGTCTATTACCCCCAAAAAGTTTTAGAAAGTCCAGCTTATATGTACGGATCAATACATCTATGGCAGTGGTTCTCAACTTGTGGATCCCCGGGTGTTTTGACCTACAACTCCCAGAAATCCCAGCCAGTTTACCAACTGTTAGGATTTCTGGGAGTTGAAGCCCAAAACATCTGGGGGGACACAGGTTGAGAACCACTGGTCTATGGTGATAAAACTCTATGCTATATTACCTTTTGGTCTAATGCAGTGGTTCCCAACCTGTGGTCCCTGGACCACCAGTAGTCCACAAGAATGAAAATAGGTCCCCGGCCTCACCATTACTACACCATTGACTCAAAACCACACAGCAACAAGAGCGACTGGTCTTGCAAAATCTTGTGCCGATGTCGGGAGGGGAGAGGCTGACTACCCACAAAAGATTCCTACTACCACATCAGCTCTAGATTATTAAATATGGTTTTCTGTGGGTGAGCAGATGGCCACTACTGGGTGGCACATGTTCTGTATCAGAAACTAGAGCTGATGTGGTCTCTCCAATGCAGTTTTCTGAACTGGCACCCCAAAAAACCAAACCGAATCTAAAGTTGACCAAAAACTGATTCACAACCCTTTTGATATTAATCTTGGTTAGTGGTCCCTGGTCAAAAAAAAAAAAAAAAAGGTTGAGAACCACTGTTCTAATGTTCAGGTCAGACTGTCATGATTACTGAGTTGCATCAAATGTACCTGCCCTACGACCACACTGTTGTTTTTTAATTGCTGCTCATGTTTTGTTTTGTTTGTAGTTGCAGACAACTACAAACAACTTTTATAGTTGTTTGTTGTTATGTACAAAACTCTTGAGTCGTTTTCTTCTGGTGTTTTATCTCCCATATTAGGAGCCCCCGGTGGCGTAGTGGGTTAAACTCTGGTGCCATCAGGACTGAAGACCGACAAGTCGCAGGTTCGAATCCGGGGAGAGCATGGATGAGAGCTCCCTCTGTCAGCTTCAGCTCCCCATGTGGGGACATGAGAGAAGCCTCACACAAGTATGGCAAAACAACAAAACATCTGGGCATCCCTGGGCAACATTCTTGCAGACAGCCAGTTCTCTCACACCAGAAGCGATTTGCAGTTTCTCAAGTCACTCCTGACACACACACACAAAAACCCTCCCATATTGCAGCATGGTCTGGTACAGAATGAGGTAACGCCATAAATTACTGCACCACCAGGTGACACCAACCCTAGTGACGCCAATCACTAGGCAGAAAAGAGGCAAGCCTGGGTCCTTCTTCCTCTTCTCCCACAGAGCCATCGGATTCAAATAAGAAATAATCCCTCCCATCCCCAGCCCTCTAGGAGCCCTTTCAGGCAGGCCCTATATCCCAGGATCTGATCTCAGGTTTTCTGCTTGAAATTGGATTGTATGAGTCCCCACTGCCAGATAATCTGGGATAAACAGAAAACCTGGGATACGATCCTGGAATATAGGGCCTGCCTGGAAGGGCCCTCAGAGATGAGTATGGTATTTGAATTACTGAACAGATTCACTTCTTAAAAAACAAACGAAAAACATGTTCAACTGCCCTGATGTATATATGAGCCCAAAGAGTGCTTCTCAAAGTGATGGTCCCTGTGCCATTCATGGGCTCTGGGTCCCGGCCAACATTCCAGGAAAGAAACAACTGCAATCCATGGGCAGAAATAGGCTGCTAGGCCTTGGCACACTAGGAAAAAAGTTCTGCTTCCGTAGAGCCCCTGAGAATTAATGTTAAAATATCACCCTGCGATCCGAGCTGATTGTGAATGAAGAATTAGTGTAAAGTCACCATAAGCCAGAAACAGTTTCTCAATACCAATACCAACAACAAATTGCTTCCACACTAATTGCTCTGGCCCAACGTACACACAAAATAAGTAACTCATTTTTCTTGTTTCTTCCTTAAGTGAAAACTCTTATCCTAGACTACTGGATAGAACCTCAGTTTTTACAGAGGGCAGATCTTTGGTTAGAAATACTCACCAGTTGCCGGATTCCTGGCATCATCAAGGAGACTTCCCAAGGGCTTTCCATCCCCCATCTCATCCGCAGCAACAGAAGCCGTGGTGGAGCCTTCCCTTTGGATGACTTAGCTGCCCACAGTTATTTGCACTGTCCTCTCATTTGTGTCTAGGAGTGAGTGGCCTGAGGGCCAAATTTGCCAAGAAGTTTTGTACAACTAGGAATTATGTTAATGACGTACAGCGGCCAATGCCCCTACATGTGGACAATACTGTGCCATATGCGGTTCGTCAGGCAATCTTGTAAGGGAGAGATCCTCCCAAGGCAGCTTATACACACATATACACACATACATACAGGAAAAACATACCATGTCTATGTATGGTTGTGAAAGCTGGACAGTGAACAGAACAATAAGAAAATGAACTCATTTGACATGGTTTTGGAGGAGAATTCTAGGGATGCTGTCTGTTACTAAAAATATAAATAGATGGGTCCTAGAACAAATTAAGCCTGAACTCTCCCTAGAAGCCATGGTGACTAAACTGAGACTGTCATACTTTAGACATTTCATGAGAAGACATGACTCACGAGAAAAGTCAATTGTGCTTGGTAAAGTGGAGGCATTAGAAAAAGGAAGTTCACATTCCAAGTTGGTTCTCAATTGAGGAAGCCCCAACTCCAGGACTGCAAGACCTGAGGAGATGGGGTCCTGACGTATTGGGGAATCTGAGTTGTTAGGCTCAAAAATAACCCTCAGTTGGTGCAATTCTACCAAAATAGAGCAGAGTGCCAGGAAAAATTCCTTAACTAGCAGAAATTTACATATGGTGAGAAGGGATAGCCTATTCCTTAGGTTGGCTCAGGACTGCAGAGTCAGAACTTTTGATTCAAAAAGATTTACTGAAGTAAAAATAAACACATTCTTGATAGAAAAGGTCTTGGAGCTAACTAGCTTACTAAATCTCAAGGTAAAAGGTAAAAAAGTCAATGCAGCTACATTTTGCCTACAGAAGGGCAAAATGCATCCTCACAGAGAGAAAGAAAAGCAGAGACCGCATGTTCAACCCACAGCAGTTTAAACTTAAAAGGAAGTCCCCTCACAGAAATTCCATTACTACGTCATCAAAGGGAGAGGAGCCAGCGGCTAGCAGGAAATGGGAAGACAAAGCCCTTTGGGGAAACATGCATAGGAATGTGAAAGGAAAGGAATCCCTCAGCATAGCCATGTCTCTCGTCTAGCTACTCACCGAGGACTAGAAACTTGATGAGACAAAAACTTGTGCAGTCCAGGGATGAATCCCAACATGGAGGACTCTCAGTCATAGAATCATGACAAGTCAAAGTCAACTTAACAGCAGTTAACAGCCACCACTAATTCAATGAAATATGGTTGTTTTTTAAAAAAAATGTTTGAAAGTCACAATGTGGGACTAATTAAACTATTGGAATATAGCAGCCTGTGTTTTTATCAGAGCCTGCATATCTCTCAATAATTGTGGTGGTTTTGGGGAGACCTGAAGGTCTTATTCGATGTTAATGGGAGCTTTTTTTAAAAGTAAAGTATGAATTGAGAATGGATTACAGTAGAGGAGGAAGGGATTAAAAGCCCCCCTGGCCTCAAGGCCCTAATCCAAATTGACTACTCATATCTGCTATTTGCCATTTAAAAGCCAATTGCCAATTGCTCCAAAGGCCCTCATCTCCTAACCTCAAAACCGTATTTCGGCACTGCAATACTACCAAGTTCAAGACTTCAAAACATGGTAGGCAGATTGGTCACTGGTTGCATTTAGGAACTAGATTTATACTTACAAAAGGTATCTGTTCTGAATTACATACAAATTCAACATAAGAACAAACCTACAGGACCTATCTGCTTTGTAATTTGGGGACTGTCGGGAGTTAATAGTTTCTTATATTAACTTGACAAAGTGTAAGTTATTTGTTGATCTGAGGTTCCAATTTGCTTCAACATACTTCTTGAAAATACATATATAAGAAGCAATTTGAGGTCCTTCCATCCCCTACAAAGCACAGTCTGGTCCCAAGAACTGCCTATCCCATCCTCTTGTGTACTTCATTCACTTTTTTGTGCATAAATAAGATTGCACCAGAACCCTGCTCTGCTTCCTACTGATGAGCTTGGGGCAAAATGAGATAATGATGGTGGCTGTTGCTGGCGGTATTATCTCTTACCAGCCTCTTCCCAAAGGTTGAGGTAGGGAACAACAACAGGTTAAAATACACTACCTAAAATCAGTTAAAAGCACACTAACCATTCAAAACATATAACATCAGTTTAATTAATGTATAAGACCAAAACATTGATCCATATTTTTAACAATTAGTCCATAGTTTAATTTAGAAATAATCTGTATGGGCCTACCAGAAGATACTGATCTTTAATGTTGACTTAAATGTAGACAGTGTACCCAGTTATCAGAGTTCTTCTGACAGGTCATTCCACAAACAGGGCGGCTGAAGAAAATGTCCCTTGGGTAAATAGTTGCCACCTTAATTCTGGTTGACTGGAGTAAATGTTCCCCAGAAGACCAAAGTGTACAGATTGGATTCATGGATTGTATGGAACAAGGCGATCCTGTAGGTGACCTGGAGCCAAAATATGTAGGACTTTAACAGTAACAACCAGCACTTAGTACCTTTACCAGAAACTAATGGGCAGCCAATTGAGTGATTTTAATATTGAGTGGCTTTAGTATTTAATATTAATATTGGTGCAATATAATAGTTCCTAATAGAGAGCTCTGATGTGGGCTGGTCCATGAAGGCACGAAGTTGGAAGCGACTGAACGAATAAACAACAACAATAATAATTATCATGTTGTTAATTCGTTCAGTCTTTTCTGACTCTTTGTGACCTCATGGACCAGCCCATGCCAGAGCTCCCTGTCGGCCGTTACCACCCCAGCTCCCTCATGTTCAATCCAGTCACTTCAAGGATGCCATTCATCCATCTTGCCCTTGGTCAGTCCCTCTTTCTCCTTCCATTTTCCCCAGCATCATTGTCTTCTCTAAGCTTTCCTTTCTTCTCATGATGTGGCCAAAGTACATCATCTTTGCCTCTACTCTCCTTCCCTCCAATGAGCCACCGGGCTTTATTTCCTGAAGTATGTACTGGTTGGATCTTCTGACGGTCCAAGGCCAGAACTTTCAGGACTTTCCTCCAACACCACAGTTCAAAAGCATCTATCTTCCTTCGCCCAGCCTTCCCTATGGTCCAGCTCTCACATCCGTAGGTGACTATGGGGAATACCATTGCTTTAACTATGCGGATCTTCGTTGCCAGTGTGATGTATCTACTCTTCACTATTTTATTGAGATTGATCTTTGCTCTCCTCCCAAGAAGTAAGCATCTCCTGATTTCCTGGCTGCAGTCTGCATCTGCAGTAATCTTTGCACCTAGAAATACAAAGTCTGTCACCGCCTCCACGTTTTCTCTCTCTATTTCCCAGTTGTCAATCATTCTTGTTGGCATCATCTTGGTTTATCCAGTTATCCAGTTATCATAGGGAAGGGTTAACACCCACCCTTCTGGAATTTGTTTTGCTGTCTGTGCCCCTGTTCAGAACATTTGACTTCACTTTCTGTCCCTGTGAGAATTGGATCATGAAAAATGTGGCTTGTGGAAACAAGGGTTGATGATAAAGCTTCAGTTGAGACACCTTTTCCCCAAGCTAACTCTTCAGGAGTGAATTTCCCTTCCTAGGGATAGACTTCTCTCACTTCCTGCTGTCTCACCCCCTCCCCTACTCCCCATTCTTAACAATGAGTCATTTGTAAGTCAGATGTTTGTAACTTAGGGACTGCCTGTAGCAGCAATTTCAATAAAAAGGAAAACTATGTTTTATATGTTTTTATTTTAATCCTGTTCTGAAACGTTTGTTTTTTCACAGCAGGACCTTGCTATGGAGGAGCCTTATTCTATTTTAGTGTGCTTTTTACAGAGCTATATGAACGCTATAGTGACACAGATATGCACATCTGCTTTATACTGCTAATGACACAATTCTTTACATGGGTATTCAGAGGTAATTCCTAATGAATTAAATGGGAAGGGCATTTAGGATTATATCCCTATTTTTTTTAAGGAAAATCCTCAATTACAATGTGGGTTTAGAGTGGTTACTTGACATCACAATAGCAGGGCGAATGCCCAGGACATGCCTTAGAAAAGTCGTATGTGTATCTGTGGCTATGCTGCTGGAAAGGGTCTGTTTGTTCAGATGTTTGTTTACATTCTATCAATCTGGTTTAGCAGAAAAGGGATATTCACACTTACGTGCATATGTGTGTTGTGCCTCATGGGTATTATTTACAACAAATAGAGGACAATATTGACAAAACTATGCAGGAACCTACCATCATAACTCACAGCTCTGCTGTGCACAGGAACAAGATCTGTATCTCTTGAGATCTACATTTGCCAAGGGGACACAGGCTGGCCAGCTTGACAGAAATGCCTTTGGGTTTTTCAACCACACAGTAATTACTGAGGCTTCCAGACAAGCACGAATAATCCAGAGGAATTGTGCAGAAGTTTCTTCCTTAACAGGCTATTTTTCCCTGGCAAGCAGAAGTAGTAATGGTGCCCCTCTATTCCGCTTTGGTCAGATCTCACCTGTGTCCAACTCTGAGGACCACAATTTAAGAGAGAGATTGACAAGCTGGAACATGTCCAGAGGAGTGCAACTAAAATGATCAAAGGTCTAGAGACTATGCCTTATGAAGAGAGGTTTAAAGAGCTGGGTCTGTTTAGCCTGCAGAAGAGAAAGTTGAGAAGAGACATGATAGCCATGTATAAATATGTGAAAGGGTGTCATAAGGAAAAGGGAGCAAGCTTATTTTCTACTATGCTGGAAGCCAGGACTTGGAGCAATGTGTTAAAATTACAGGAAAGATTCCAACTGAACATTAGGAAGAACTTCCTGACTGAAAGAGATGTTCAGCAGTGGAACTCTCTGCCTCAGGGTGAGGTAGAAGCTCCTTTCTTGGAAGCTTTTAATCAGAGACTGGATGGTGGCTTGATTGTGCTTTTCCTACATGGCAGAATGGGGTTGGACTGGATGGCCCATGTGGTCTCTTCCAGTCCTGTGATTCCATAAATCTTCTGGTGAAACTTGAGATCTCTTTAGTGAAAAATACACCCGAGGATGGCCAGCAGATGCTGTCAACAGGCTCCTGAAATATTCTGCAGAAGGAGGATGATTCTATGATTCTGCAAGTGATTGAGAAACCCAGGAGGGTTTCAAATGGAAATTTGGGCCATTTATAAAATGAAGCTATGGCTGCAAACTATGTCTATAAGTATCTAATCTGTGGATTCAATAATCATAAGGGAAAATGGGCATTATCACTTTCAACAATTAGTCTTGACAGTACTGATGATTTGCTGTTGTCTGCATGCCCAAAACTTCTAAACTTTGTTATCAAACACACTATGCTGTAAATCTCAGTCATATACTGAGTTACAACCATTATGCAATATGCTGTCTCAGATCCCATGGCAAGAGAAAGGTGGGATGTTAATTAATTATATTATATACAGATCTTGTGGTAATTTAAATGAACAAATTAACCAACAAGTTCATCAGCTATCAGTTTCAAGGACCAAAGGAATGCTAAGACACTGTATATAAAAAGGTATAGCCCTTTATTTCATTACATAATTAAACATCATTCAGATAAAATGTGTTTTAGCCTTTCCCTCTGGGGTATCTTTCTTCAGCTCCTCAAAGAGGAAGACCATTTTGTTCATCATCGAATTCAGCAATCCATAAACCTAGAAACAGGAACCAGTTCAAATATACTTTTAGAAGCGAAACAACGTATCTAAAGGAAAATACGAATCAACACTAATCTTTCTTATATACATACTCAAGACACTGAAACATTTTTCATGAGTTTTGTGCTTCCTGTAGCAAACACAAGACAGGGCTGGTAGTAAATGTAAGGTTGTTTTGCATTGTGTATCACATATCTATATTAGATATATTAGGGTATCTATATTAGATGGCGCAGTGGGTTAAAGCACTGAGCTGCTGAGCTTGTTGATCGAAAGGTCGCAGGTTCGATTCCGGGGAGCGGTGTGAGCTTCCGCTGTCAGCCCTAGCTTCTGCCAACCTAGCAGTTCGAAAACATGCAAATGTGAGTAGATCAATAGGTACCGCTCCGGCGGGAAGGTAACGGCGCTCCATGCAGTCATGCTGGCCACATGACCTTGGAGGTGTCTACGGACAACGCTGGCTCTTCGGCTTAGAAATGGAGATGAGCACCACACCCCAGAGTCAGACATGACTGGACTTAATGTCAGGGGACTACCTTTACCTTTTTATAAATCTCTACTTAATGCACTTAATGATGGAGGGATGGAAGGGATGCTATGCCATGGCTATAGCAAAGTTTTCATGTCTAAGTTTTGGAGGTATAGACATTTTAACCATATGCCAAGTTATACACCTTCTATTAAATCCACTGGATGCTGCATAAAAAAGCTAGAAGGGATCCCTAGCCAATTCAATTCAATGCAAAGGTAGTCATTGATGAAGTGCCTATGTTCTTCCAGTCGAGGCACACGGAGACTCACAAGCACAGCCCATCTGATGCGGGGCTAGATCTGGTTTTAGAAAGAGGCATCACTTACATAATTACACCTGAGTTAAGATTTTAAGTCCCTTGAGTGATAGAGCACATGTTGGAACTGTCACAGAAGGCACCCTGATCCTCAAACAATAAAACCTAATCTAATCTAAGTTTATTCCAGAATAAATCCTGTAATATAACTGGTTTCCAAATAAGTGTGTAGGAGTGAATTTAACATCCTTTTTGTATATATTACATTTTATTTTATGTTTTGGAGGTGGGCCAAAACAGGCGTCGTTGCTTGTGGATTACAATTTTAGAGCCTTTTGACTATAGTCAATTCGACAGGATCTAGTGCCTCCAGATACATTAAAAAAATGAATAAACTTTTTAGTGTATCCAGAGGCACTAGATCCTGTTGAATTTTGGAGGCTAAGCAGGGTCAGTCCTGGTTTGTACTTGGATGAGAGACCTCCAATGGCCCCATAAAAGCATTAACAGGCAACTTGAAGGTGTTGGAAACAGCAACCTTCTACAAGCCTCCTATACTAGTTATTTCTTATGTATATAATTCAGATTGCTTACTATATTATATACGTATGTTTTGTGTATTGTCAAAGGCTTTCATGGCCGGAACCACTGACCGCATAGGGAAGCTGATGAGGAAACACAACACACAAACTATCTACAGAGCCACCAAGAAAATCCAACAAATGCTACGTTCAGCAAAGGACAAGAGGGATCCTCTCACTTCTGCAGGAGTCTACCGTATACCGGGCAGCTGTGGAAAAGTCTGCCACCAAACGCAGCACCCAAACACGAATCAAGGAACAAGAAAGGCACTGCAGACGACTTCAATCAGAGAAGGCAGCCATAACAGAGCCCCTGATGAACCAGCCTGGACACAGCATATTATTTGAGAACACAGAAATGCTGGACCACTCTCACAACCACCATGTCAGACTACACAGAGAAGCCACTGAAATACACAAGCATGTGGACAATTTCAACAGAAAGGAGGAAACCATGTAAATGAACAAAATCTGGCTACCAGTATTAAAAAACTCTAAAATTACTACAGCAAAACAACCGAGAGGAAACAATCTGGGACATCTAATCACCTCTCAACAAAAGATTGCCCCAGACACTGCCAGACCATCAAATGCTAATCAAGGTGGTCAGTTGAAACATGCACACCTAGCTCCAGCAGACAAGAGTCCTTTGTCCCACCCTGGTTATTCCACAGATATATAAACGCTTTTTCCTAGTTCCAACTGACCTCACTATCTCTGAGGATGCTTGCCACAGATACAGGTGAAACGTCAGGAGAGAATGCCTCTAGAACATGGCCATAGAGCCCGAAAAACCTACAACAACCCTATGTATGTTTTGGTATGCAGCTTCCTTAACTCTATGTTGTTTGAAATTATGAGAGAGACTGCAGACCATATGATCAGATCTGGAACTATTCAGACTGAGACTCCATTTTAGAAGTCATTATTGTGTTGTACTGTATTCTATGTTATAGTCAGTATTTGTTATACATTAGACACGAGACTGCATCAGACTGCTTGAGTTAGGTTTTAGATCAGTGGTTCTCAACCTGTGGGTCCCCAGATGTTTTGGACTACAACTCCTAGAAATCCTAACAGCTGGCAAACTATTGTAGAAGACAGGAAAAATATGGTCCCAATGTGTGGCATACTCGTTAAAACCACTGCTGGCCAGATAGCTTAACAACAACTGCTTTAGTAAACCTTTCTTTTCAGGAAGTTTTAAAAGTTTTTAAGATTGGGCCAGTGTGTGCTGCAAAGTGTTTTAGTTATGCTGATAGGTTTTTTTTTTTATTATTTTAACTGTTTATTTTTTAGTACAGCCAATGTTCAATCCTATTTTAGGGTTTGCCCTTTTTAGGTTTTGAATTGTATATTATATTGTTTTTAGTGCTAGCCATTTTGGGTTTCTTTTTTAGAGAGATAAAGCATGATAGAAATAACAATAACAATTCAAGGTGGGTTGTAGGTTTTTGTTTTCTCTGGTATGCAAGGACGAGCCAAAAAAGCACTTCAAACAATGTATCGGTAATTTGGTCTTCTAATGATCTAATTTGATAGGGCAAAGTGAATTGGGCTGAAGTTCTATATTCAGTTTCGTTCCATAACTTTCATGATCTCAGTACTTCTCAATAGATATGATTAGGGTTCACTGTTAAAGAAGTTACAACTTTCTTTTTCTTTCTGCTGTTTTGTGCTTTTAAGAGTATTATATTTCAAGATTCTATTCTGGAATATGAGGGCAACTCTTTCTGGTATATTATCTGGGGTGAGGGACCACTGGCCCTTAGTGGTCTAGACTTGGAATCCTACTCCTTGGTCTCTGTGCCATCATAAAAGACAGTCAGGCTAGAATAGGGATGTTACTATCTGCAGAGAAAAGCAGAGAAATCACTGAAGAATCAATCTGAAAGCTGGAGAAGGCCCTAAAAGGAGTTATGTATGGAAGATTCATTCCAGAGAAGTAATCCAAAAAGTGCAGAAGAATCAAGAGTTCAGAAAATTACTTTTTGGAATACAACTCAAGGGATCTCTCAAGCAATCACTATGTAAGAAGATAGTTCAAAAATCCTGCTTTTCCAAACTCTAGACAAAACTATTTCCATCAACTCACAATGCATGGCAAGCTCTAAGGGAAATATTAGACACCATGTACTGAAAATGTGGTGCAAATTCCTAGATAGACATAATCAGAAGAAAGTCCATTTATTTATTTATTTAGTACATTTCTATACCACCCCTCTCAGCCTTCTGGAGACTCGAGGCGGTTTACAAGGCAAGAATTCAATGCCGCACAAGGACACAATTACAATATACAGCATAAAAAACATCAGCAACAATAAAATCAAACATTATAATGAAACATACTTAAATCGATAATCATTAAAACAATGACCAGTTCCGCCATATAGTTATTCCATTATTATATCTGTTACTCCGTATTTTCAAATGCCCGCTCAAATTGCCATGTCTTAAGATTCTTCTGGAATGATAGGAGCGAGGAAGCCAATCTAATCTCCCTAGGAAGGGTGTTCCATAGCCGGGGGGCCACCACTGAGAAGGCCCTGTCTCTCGTTCCCACCAACTGTACTTGTGATGATGGCGGGACCGAGAGCAGGGCCTCCCCAGATGATCTTAAAGTCCTTGCAGGTTCATAAGGGAAGATTTGTTCGGACAGCTAAGTTGGGCCAGAACCGTTTAGGACTTTATAGGCTAAAGCCAGCACTTTGAATTGTGCCCAGTAACGAACTAGCAGCCAGTGGAGCTGGCGCAACAAGGGAGTTGTATGCTCCCTGAGAGCCACTCCAGTTAGCAATCTGGCTGCTGTCCGTTGGACCAGTTGAAGCTTCTGGACAGTCTTCAAAGGCAACCCCACGTAGAGAGCATTGCTGTAGTCTATACAGGATGTAACAGTGTGGACTACCGTGGCCAAGTCAGACTTCCCAAGGTACGGGCGCAGCTGGCGCACAAGCTTTAACTGTGCGACTGTTGACTGGTATGTACAGAGAACTAACCAAGTCCAGAACTTCCCTCAAAGTAATAACCAGGGAAACAGAAGCATCAATTCTGGAGATACTTACTTCAACATAAAGGTTCTCACGATATTTTTCCTGCACAACAGGATCCACTTGTTCACGGCGGTCTGGTTGTTCTGCTTCAGCAGCATCCACAGAAATTACGACTGCATCTTTTGCTTCCTTTGCGGCACTTTTTGATTTTCTCTCCTCTTTCTGTTTCATTTTTCTGCTGTTTGAGCGCTCCTGCTAAGAAAGAAGGATAGTAAAGAGATCAGAGACAATGAATTTATACAAAGACCAGACAGAATTTCATGCATCTCTGACAGCAGGTTGTGTGCCTGAGACTGTCCTTTCAGAAAGTGCTCAGCTCAAGGAAGAAACATCCCACAAGTATCCTGGGAATTTTTCAAATACTTTCCCTGAACTAGTTCTTTATTTTCCCAGGACATGTATTTGTGAAAGGCCTAAACATATACCTCTTTTGAGGCCTTTCCTTTTTCTTTTTCTTTCGCTGCAGCCTTCCTATCTTCTCTTTGAACTCTCCGTTCCTCCTTCGCCGTCTTTACAGGTACTGGTTTTACGTCAGCTGCTCAAAACAGAAGGAGGAGGAACAACAACAAAAAGGGAAAAGAAAGAGTAGCTCATTTATTTGACTCTTGTGTAACCCTAGCCTTACAACTGATCAATATTATACACATCTCTCTGATCTGATAGTAACAAGCATTTATTTTCTTTATATAACCCCCCCCCCCCCCCCCCCGGTAAGATATAAGATCTAGCAAAGATTTGCCATTGACTCCATACTCCACTCCTTTTCCAAGTCACGTCTGGTCTGTTGAGTTGAAAACGTACCTGACTCCTCTGGGACAACTTCGAGGTAGGTGTCTTTCTCAGGCATACCAAGCAGAGATCTGAGCGTCAGAGAGCGTGTCACAAGGCCATCAATTACCTCACACCACAACTGGAAACTGTAATAGCAAAGAAAGTGCATTTTATTTCTGGAAGAAGAGGAAGGAAAGCTAGAATTTTCCGACCTGTTTCATGGTTCTCCTCTGACCCCATAACAAAAGGCAGACTAAAAATTGGAGAAACAGATTCCACAATATCCTTTTGCAGAGAGGCATAGGCTTTTTTAATCCAGCAGGCCTTGAGTTGATTTTCAGGGGAACCCGGCTTTCTATTAATGTAATGAACTTTTATTTGTTGTGGTTTTGTGGTTTATGGTTTTAATTGATTTTATATATATATATATATATATATATATATATATATATATATATATATAAAATGTTATGTTATGTTATGTTATGTTATGTTATGTTATGTTATGTTCCTTTTTAGCTTTTACTGCTCTGGTGGTGCAGTGGGTTAAACTGCTGAGCTGCTGAACTTGCTTACTGAAAGGTTGAAGGTTCAAATCCCAGGAGCTGCGTGAGCTCCTGCTGTCAGCCTCAGTTTCTGCCAACCTAGCAGTTTGAAAACAAAGAAATGTGAGTAGATCAATAGGGACCGCTACGGCGGGAAGGTAACAGCACTCCATGCAGTCATACCGGCCACATGACCTTGGAGGTGTCTACGGACAATGCCGGCTCTTCGGCTTAGAAATGGAGATGAGCATCAACCCCCAGAGTTGGACATGACTGGACTTAATGTCAGGGGAAAACCTTTACCTTTACCTATGAAATACGCTAAAGACTCCTTTGGACTATGGACTCTTGATTCTAAGGAAGATTCCCTGTGTTACCTACATAGAGAAACTACTTCAAATCCTATTGTAACTGGATTCATAAGCAAGGTGCCTGTATGCTGTATACATGAAGTTTTGTGAGTAAACTAACTCTGTTACCTTTAAAGAAGATGGTTTATTTTGTGTCTTGAGAGCATGATTTAAAGGCAAATATATTTTAAGGAAGAGTAGATGTTTTTGGGCACTTCGGAAACTCTGCTGAATATATGTTTTTGTGCATCTTTGTCCCTAGCAGTTCAAAGACATACCTATGTGCATTAGTTTAACAGCCGAGAGACCTAGTTGTCTTGCATGAATGTTGGTGAACATCATTTTTTCAAAAGGTTGTGACTTCTAACAAGGCCATGCCTTTCCAATGAGCAGTGATTTTTCCAAAAAGAGTTATGAATCCCATTTCCCAAATGGTTATGGAGAGTCACATTTTTTAAAAGCTGCAACCATCTTAAGACAGCGATAAGTAAAAACATATAAATAAGGAATCTATAGTACAGCTTTTATGAACAGAACAATTTCTAGCTCTATAGAAGTTTGAGTATTAAACTAAGAACATCCAAGTCTTGTTCTCATTGAACCATGAAACTCACTGAATGACCTTGGGTTACTCGCTCTTTTTCAGTCTAACCTGACTCAAGAGGCTATAGTGTAGATAAAATCAGGAGTTGAACCGTGTTGGCCAACCCCTACATAGTGGGAGGAAAGGTGTACCTAATGAACAAAATTAATTTGGAACACCTTCTTTTCTATACATCAAACTACCCTCTGGAAGCTATGCATTTTCTCTAGTATACAGAAAGTTGGTTTGGATTTTCCAAGCTAGGTAAGGCTTTCACAAAAAAAAAAGTTTAGTCCTGTGAAGTATCAGCAACCTACCAAATGTGGTACAAGAGTTCTGTTTGTGTCGTCACAGGCGCCATACAAAGTTCCAGCGCTGCTTTATTGAGCTGAGTCAGGGCAGCTTCTCGCTCATCTTCCTCAGGGATTGCAAGCACAGACTAATGAGATAGAAATTATGGTAAAGTCTCCACCTCCTCTAAGAACTTCCAAGTATTCATTGCTTTCTATATCCAACCTAATAGCATCATCAATGCCAGAGTGACAAAAGAGCAGTAGGCCTTGTCCCACAAATTTGTCAACAGCAATGGCTGATTAAACTATCCACACCAAAACAACTTTCCCACACCTTGCCCTTGTCACCATGGGGATCATTAAATACTAAAACAGCAAAATATATATTTAGAGATGATATTTTAAATCCAAAATGTTTGCCTGAACGTGGAGTCTTTTCTATTTCACCCTTTCAGAGGTCCACATGCATGTCTTGTAAATCATGTGGCTTTTAAATTTTAATGTTTAACACTTATTAGCCTCATTTTTAAGTTTTGTTTTTAAATGTTTATTTGTCAAAATTTAAAATTTTAGTTGTGTGATGTCTAATTTATTGTAAAGTACCACTATTGTCTGATATTGAAGTCTAATATGTTATTATTTGATTGATGGTTTGTTTATTTGCCCTTTTGGTCACACTTTATGGCATTGAATTTTTACCGCAGTATGTTGTGAATCACCCTGAGTCCCCATTGGGGAGATAGAGTGGGATAGAAATAAATAATAATAATAATAATAATTATTATTATTATTATTATTATTATTATTATTATTATTATTATTATTATTAGGCAGAGGAATATGCGTATTTCCGATTCCAATTCAGTTAAACAATTTGGATTTTAAAAACACATCTTTGAAATCCAGTTTGGAATTATGTGTGTGGGCATATTAAGGTGACGTGTTTCTGAGCTCACATGCCAGGGTCTCAATAGTGGACATGATCCTGACATCCTTCTTTCAATCTGCCTGCTGTCAAGACTAGAAATGTTTTAGATATTTAAAAAGGTGAGACAAAAGGTATTTCCAAAGATAAGACAAATACAGAACATGGTCATAACACCTGTTTGAAATCTGCAACTGAAAGATTCCACTCAACCCGATCCGCTGGCTCCACTGGCTTCATCTGCTGCACCACAGGCTCAGCCAAGCGAGGTGTCACCTCTTCTACCACAGACTTCCTTAGTTTTGAAAGACCTGGAGAGATACTCTTACGGTGAGGAGTGTCCTCAGGACTCTTCTGTGCTTCTGCCACACTCTTTGGTGGGGATTCACTGTGTGTCATGTTCATGTAGACTTCCACCACCTGAGGAGGATTCATGAGCTTGTCCCATAAATTATGGAGCTCCCTTACCACTTGGTGCTTATAGTAGAGCTACAACAAGAGGAAATAAAAAGGGAGGGCAAAGAAGAATGAAATCCCACAGATTACGATATATTTAAGAAATGTTTGAATAGATTATAATAGATCAAGAAATCACTTGGAATAGACATTCAAATCATCACAGCTTCCATTCTTCAGACAAAATAATTGAAACAGATATCATTTTTGAAAGATCTCATTTCTTAATTTCCTCCATTGTCTTGAAACATCAGACCTAATCTGCAATTTTAAATTACATATACCTTTTATTAAAATATAATTCTCTAAAGCAACGGTTCTCAAATTGTGCTCCGCTGAGCCTTTGGGGCTCCATGAAGCATACTGAGGAGCTCAGTGGTTTCGTCCTCCTCCCTCTTCCTCCTTCAAGCTTTCCCTCATCTTCCGTGCTCCTCCCCCTTCCCTCCCTTGCCGCTAAAAGCCTTCCTCCCCACCTCACTTGCCACCAAAACCCAATTTCCCTCCCACTGCTCAGAGGATGCTTTGATTATACTTTTCCAGCATGACAGAAGGCAATTGAACTGGACGGCCCCTGGAGTTCCTGCTGTTTTGTTGTTGTTACTACAAAGTTTGAGTGGCCATCTGTTGGGAGTGCTTTGATTGTACTTTTTCTGCATGGCAGAAGGGGGTTGGACTGGATGGCCCCTGCAGTCTTCCCCTGAAATACTGTTAAGTTTACATTGGTTAAAATTGTTCATCAAAAGTTTGCCCATGCCTGATTGATTGATATATATATATATAATCATACAATATATAATATAATATATAAACATTTGTTGGGGTTCCATGATAAACGTTTGCTTCAAATAGGGCTCAGTGGCTGAAAAAGTTTGAGAACTCCTGCTCTACAAAAGTAACTGCATGTAATCATGGCTTCTAGGATTTCTCTTAGCTGTCATTGGACAGCCTAGGATCTGATTCAGTTTTTCAGGACAAATTAATTATCCAATGGCATTTTTAGCCTTTTCACAATGTTAGTTGTCATTTTCTTTAGATGAGATGCGCAAAAACCAGAAGATTTGGGCTTGAGATACAAATTATAGAAAATGAAGTAGGAAATGCCACCTCTGATGTCAGACAGAAGAAGGGAGTGCCTAGGTGCTGAGTGTTCGGCATCTCAAATGCTCAGGGGGAACAGGTAAGTGTTTAATAGTTCTTGGAACTATCCCAATAACCTCAGGCCTGGCTTCTGACCAAAGGAGAGAGCTGCTGAGCATGTGTGAAAAGTCAAAACAAATCAGGAGACCATGTCCCATATGCTGATGGATAATCACTTGCTTTGTTTTCATTTTTTCCCCTTTTCTTTTGGCCACTTTCAGAGTTGGCCTTCTTCACAGGCTGCACTAAACATTACCTCTGGATTCTTTCTTTGGAATAACTCTTCCTCCGTGACGTAGGCGTCAAGAGGGGACCGTGCTCGCTCTGGGGTACGAATTCGATCAAGCAGGTCCCTCAGGTTCTCTTCCACAATGACAGCAGCTTCATGAGATTCCAGTGTTTTCTGAGTTCAAAAAAGGCACCAAATCTTGTTTCGTTTGTAAATAGCAACTACCACACATTCTTAATACATGAGCCTTTCCAGAGAAATATATAAATTGGAAATCATGTGGTTGTGACAGTGGAAAAGGAAGGAGGAGGAAGGGAACTGTGGCTTCCATGATGAGCAGAAGGATTAGGGTCCGCTGGGAGGTTAAATCCACACCTCTCTACTCAAGGAAGAACACTATGAAAAGGGAAAGACAGTCCTCATGCTCAACCTGGATATAAATCCACAGTGCCCTATTTGGTTCTGGTAGTCAAAATCTCTGTACTCTCTTCTCTTGTCTTTGCTTTTTGTTTATACATTCAAGGACAGGGGCAACCTTGTAACTAGTGGCAAATATTTGGGGCCACTATATGTATCTGAAAAGGCAGGCATGTGTGACATTATTAAACAAATAACTATTTGCACATACCTGAATTTCCAGTTTGGTTGAATATAGCTTCAAATATGTTATTTCCAATTTCCTTCTATCAAAACAAATAATGTACCTGGCACATTAGGAAACACTCCACACATCAGATAGCTCGAGAAGGCTTTATGGGCGATGTAACTCAGTGAGATCCATACTCCTGAATCTGCGTCCTTTTGTCCACATGATCATGACAACCAAGATAGTTGTGTGTTTCCTTTTGTAGCTGCAAGCATACTCCGCTTGCAACATAAACTTCCTAGATCCCACTCCACTCCCCACCTTGTTGAAAGCACAAAGTTCAGTTTCTGCCCCAGCCAATTGATTACCTGCAACTCTTCCCTGATTCCAGATGATATATCTTCATACAGAGCAACTCCCCATAAAGTCACTTGCAACACAGCCCCTCCTAATAATGTGGGATGAGTGCTAAACTCCCAGGACTCACTGAAGATGCCTGTGTTCATGGACTTGAAGATGAAGGAAAACCTCTTGGTTTCTCCAGGCAGAATAACCCCTAAGGAGAAGAGAAGGAACATAAATCTCCGGTAGCTTTCTCTGGTACAATGACTCCTCTGTTTTTAATTTTGTATGCATGTATTATTTTAGTTTAAGCTTCACTCTCCATCTGTTGACAAATAAGAAGAACGTTACTGGGGCTTAGGCAAGGATGAAACATCTATATGGCAAACCACAATGTACAAATGCCACATGCAGCAAAGGACAAGAGGGATCTTCTCACCTCTGCAGGAGTCTACAGCTACCATGCAGCTGTGGACAAGGCTACATAGGGACCACCAAACACAGCATTGCCCAAACTCAAATCAAGGAACATGAAAGGCACTGCAGGCTACTTCAACCAGAGAAGTGAACCAACTGGACACAGCATATTATTTGAGAACACAGAAATGCTAGACCACTCTGACAATTACCAGAAAAACTACAGAAATCCACAAGCATGTGGACAATTTCAACAGAAAGGAGGAAACCATGAAAATGAACAAAATCTGGCTATCTGTATTTAAAAACTCTAAAATCAGGACAGTAAATAAAGAACACATCCAAAAAGCAGGGGAAATCTAGAAAAGAATCAATTAAGGTCAGCTAATGCCTCCCAACAAAGGATTCCTCCAGGCAGAAAACAGCTAGGTTTTGAAGCTACAAGACCATGTAGTTGTAGTTGCCATTTGTAAAGCCGCTTTGAGTCCCCTTCGGGGTAGAGAAATGCAGGATATAAATAGAGTGGATAAAATAAATAAATTGCAACATTCACACTTGCCTCAGACAAGAGTTCTTTCTCCCACCCTGGACTCCCCACAGATATATAAACCCCACTTGCCTAGTTTCCAACAGACTTCACAACCTCTGAGGATGCCTGCCATAGATGTGGGCGAAACGTCAGGAGGGAATGCTTCTGGAACATGGCCATATAGCCCAGAGAATTCACAACAACCCTGTGATTCTGGCCATGAAAGCCTTCAACAACGCATTGTCACTATATGCTTTATGCAAGGGCTTGTACTATGGTCATAGCTCCCGACTTGGAAATGTGTAGAGCAAGCTTGGACAAACTACAGGCCTGCCAGAACTATGTCAGTTATAAACAAACCATAACCTACTTTCATAAAACAAACAAACAAATGCATCACATACCTGACCTGGTGTTAAAGTAAAAATTCTGCACCCCTTTTCTCTTTTTCTCCTGGAAAGAAAATGGAGGAGGCAGCCTTCGCCAATCATACCAGATGGCTGCAGTGCCATCATTGGTCACTGTGAGGAGAGATTCAGCCTTTTCTCCCACCAGAATTCCAAAGGTGACCCGGGCAGCAATGCCAACCTCTCCCTATTGGAATGAAAGAAAAAAGACACAAGCTGAATTTTTAGCTTGGCACGTATGTTCCCACCCCAGCCCAGGGCCACAGAAATCAATGCTTTTTTCCTGATTTCATTAAATTTCTTTTGCAAGGGAAAGATCCAGAACTTAAGGTTACATTTAAAAAAAACCAGTTTACTTTCTGAACTGTAGAGTTGATCCAGCGAGCTGGCTGTCCACAAAATTTCAGCGAAGGACCCAGTACTGGTTCTGAAAAGATATCTGGATATTCTTCTAAGAGGTCTCTATCAAACAAAGCAAAAAAATAAATAAAAATCCAAAAACAAAAAAAAATCAAAAATACCTCTCTGCCCCCATAATCCAAATCTGTTTCACAAAGTGTTGCCCAAAGGAAATTAATTCCCTTTTACAGGCTCTCTCTTTCCAGTTGCAGGAGACTATTTTGCCTTCCTTGCTCAACTAGGAGCTAGGCAAACATGTAGCTCAGATACAGTGAAAAAACATAAGGATGAAGTATACACTAAGGGGAAGTTGTCTGTGGTTCCATTTAGGGAAGGCAAAGATGAGAGAAAGAATATAAGGAAGAAGGCATTTATGGAGAAGGGGGAAAAGGGGGAGAGTGTATGCAACTAGGGTTTTTTATGTCAGGAGTGACTTGAGAAACTGCAAGCTGCTTCTGGTGTGAGAGAATTGACCGTCTGCAAGGACATTGCCCAGGAGACACCCGGATGTTTTACCATCCTGTGGGAGGTTTCTCTCATGTCCCCGGATGAGAAGCTGGAGCTAACAGACAGGAGCTCATTCCACTCCTCTGATTCAAACTGCTGACCTTTCAGTCAGCAGTCCTGCTGGCACAAGGATTTAACCCATTGTGCCAATGAAGAGTTGAAACCAAATGATACAATTGGCAAATAACATCATCTAAAAATGCCTGGATGTTTGATGTTTTACCATCCTGTGGGAGGCTTCTCTCAAGTCCCTACATGGGAAGCTAGAGCTGAGACAGGAGCTCACCTCGCTACCCGGATTCGAACTACCAACCTATTGGTCAGCAATCCTACCGGCACAAGGGTTTAACCCATTGTGCCACTGGGGGCTCCATGAAACTAGTTAGCACTCATTAACTTACAATTACTACAGCTTTTCACCCAGCAATTGTAACAGGAGTTGAGCACCCATACATCTTTAGTAGAATCATAGAATAATAGTTGGGGGAGATTACATGGGCCATCCAGTCCAATCCCCTGACAGATGGCCATCCAGCCTCTGCTCAAAAGCTTCCAAGGAAGGAGCTTCCACCCCACTCCGAGGCAGAAAGTTCCACTGCTAAACAGATCTTACAATCAGGAAGTGTTTCCTAATATTCAGGTGGAATCTTGTTTTTTTCCAATCCATGTTCCTGTTTCATACTTACGGGCTTTTTCTTTCATCAAGAAATTCTTTATCTTCAGAGACTGAAAAGCTCTTTGCAGATACGCTAGTGAAAGGTCGATTTCTGCCTATGACCTCCAGGCCCTCTATGTCCTTGACAAGAGAAGGAAGAAAATAAGGAAGGACTGGTTTTGATTCATATTTTTATTCTGCTTTTAACAGGAAAGCCCTAGAAAGGTTTAGCAGAATTTATATTACATCCAATTGTAAAGCAATATGGAAACTATACCAAAGATATGCCTCTGCTTCATATAAAAAATTATATGCCTTGAAAAGGAAATAATCATACCGGGCTATAAAAATCCAGTTTTTCCAAGACTTCCTTTAACTCATTTCGCCGATGCTTTAAAAAGAGACTCTTCTCCCAAGTATAATGAAATACTTCGTATTTTGGAGGTCTGGTACCTGTGAGAATTAAGAATGTGTCAGTTCAGTTTTCAATGCAAATTTACCAGATTTGTACTTCCCAAACCTAGACACAAACTGGAAGGCAGTATGTCCTAGAAATCTATACAGTTCCAAAATGAATTGTCAGTTCGCACACAAAAGATGTACTGAAACATTTTTTTAAAACAAAAATGGACACAAAAGTGTATATTTCTTGAAAAAAGCATATGCACACATAAAATATTTATTAATTGAAAGCAATACCTGGGAAATGTGTTCATTTCAAAAATGCACAGCAAAATGTGAATACTGAAAAAGTGCATGTTTTAAAAAATAGATATGAAAATACATGATCTTTTATGCAGACTTAAAATAAAAAGAATGCAATCTGCACTAAATTTGGGACACTGTGGGGTAAAAAAAGAACCTGGGCAAAATTAAGGTTGAAACAATCTCTGACACTTCAAAAGGAATGTTCAATGTGACCTACATGTGCACACACATCTTGTAACTGTACTCTTGCAACTCTATTTGCTGTGCTTTGAGGTTTCCTGATAAAACATGTCCTTGTGGAAGTTATATTGCAAACTTCTGTCTGGCAGTTTCAATGTTACCTCAGCTGACCTTAACAGAAGCTGACACTCCCAAGAAGTTTTTTGGGGTGTCCTCATTCCTCAGGGTTTCTCCCCCTTCCTCTTAAGGCTTTGTCAGAAGAAACGGAGATTACAAAAAAATGGGGGAAAGAAAATGATGTGCCAGTACCTATGTAAAATGCTAGAATAGTTCTTCTGCAATCCAGATTCACTTTCTGAGGCAGAGCACAACTGATTTTCCCTTCAGCTTCAGACGGGATTCATTGTTGACCCTGCTAGGCTTTGCTATGTGTTCCCCTACAGTATGCCTCCTATATTTAAATAGTGTGCAGGGCATGCTTTATTTAGACAAAAATAAATATCTTGCCACACTACTGTTGTTGTTGAGGAATGTGTGGATGATAATTATATTTGACTTGATATTCAAAATGCAAAAGGTTTTTTTGAGGAAGTGAATGTAGGTTTCTGCTTTGGGCCCATACTCTTATGGATGAGTTGTTTCTCCTTGGCCATTTTACTCAATTTTGTCGTCCAATGCTTAATAGCTCTTAACGTGGTTTGGTATTGGAAGAATCGGACTTAAATACATGAAGTTAGTTTGAAGCATTTTTTCATCTTTTCAATCTTATCGTTGTGCTAGTTATCACTCAAGCCTAAGAATGAGCAACACTGCTCTCTGATGCCTTGCAATTGTCAAAGTACATTCTGCTCACACACGCTTCTCCAGATCAAAGCTGAATTAAGGGAAGAGATTTCTCTTCAGAAGCTCCACCTTCAATGTCTCCCAGTCACAAAGTGCCTCATTTAAGCTTGTGATTCCTCACCCATCTCCATCCAGATTCTGTGAGGTTTCCCAACATGCGTGACTTCTTCCGGGAAGCCCCGTTCAGTCTGACCCAGAGTTACCGCCAGGCCACTGACCTCATCGCCAAAGCATACAGGCTCAGTCCAGAATTCATGTCCACTATAGCCCTAATAGCAAAGAAAACAAAATTGTGGGAGAAATACGACTGAGCACGTAAAATAAAGCTGAATGTGGGTGATAGTGGTTCAAGGAATCAAAAGACATGGGAGAAACGACTCAGGATCTGGCAGAACAATTCAATTAAGAATGCATCCTCTCTACTGTAATTAGCATTCTGACCAACTTAGTTTCACATCTACTTACGGCCCTAGTTTTCTATGTATAAAAATAAGTAAAAATCAAAGTGATTTACAAAACTTAAAAGCAATAACTAAAAGCAAGCAGGCTAGATCCAGTTGTGTCATTTCTCTGACAGACCTCCTTCCACATTAGCTGAAGTTCAAGAACTTTCAATGGCCTTATGCCTTCACAACTGCCAGATGTACTGTTCTGAAGATAGTGAGCTAAACGAAAATGTTTGACTTCATTTATATCCTGCTTTTCTCCTACTGTACAATCCTCCTCAAACTGGATAGCAGGTCCACATGGATAGCAGGTCCAGAGGTAAAATTAAACTTCTCATTTAATGGTTTCTCCATTCAAGGGGATATTTAACAGCAAAAATATTAGTTTAAAACAGGCATTTTTTCTGTATCATAAAGGTCCCTTTGTCACAATCTTAATTGCATGAGCATACAATGTGTCACTACTTGTGAAAAATAAGTCTAAGAAAATTGAGGAGCTGAGGAACTCTCACCTTTCCAGAGAACAGGGCAGGAATGCTGCGGTCAATCAACGTACGCTGTTCTTGAATTCTCCTGTAATGCTCTGAAAAGTTCATCAATAGGTTGCTTTCTGATTTCTGAAGATATTCTAAAAACAAGCAAAATAACCAAAGTCAGGAACGATCTCCAGCATGTACAAGGCTGAAAATATAATCTTAATAACTTAAAGTTTATACAGCCTGAAGCCTGCTTGTTACAATATGTTATTCTTGGTCCAACCTCTTGTGGCATATCCACCTGCCCACACTGCATTCACCTGACAGCTTCTTCTGCTGCTTCCTCCTGATTGCCATATTGCGGTGCCAGTTCTGGAGGGCCATGTCCTGTGATGAAGGTCTCTGCTCAGTTTTCTTTTCTTCTTCATGTTTCTCTCTATACTTCGCCAAAATGGGGACTCCACATGTAAGCTGGGAGTCATCAGGAACTAGATTTGCTACCTGAAAAAAGTTCATTGTTTTAATGTCTTTTTCTGGATTGGGCAAGAGAGGAGAAATAAATATATTCAAAAAATAAGTGAGATTTACACGTGCATCACTGTCTATTACATAAATGATTTATGTTATCTGATGTATTGCAGCTTTGCAATCAATGTAGCCAATCCATCTTCAAGAATAAAAATTAAGCAAGTATTGTCTCCTATCCTTCCAGCAGTAAGGATTTGTGCTTCCCTTTGAATAAACAGAACAACCTAAATGATATTCCCTCTCTCATATAATACAGCTTCACCTCTCAAGAAAAAAGTAGTAGTAGTAGTAGTAGTAGTAATAATAATAATAATAATAATAATAGTAATAATAATTACTGCTGTTGCTGCTGCTGCTCCTACTGCTCCTACTACAACTACATGTTGTGGTGTCTTCTTCCTGCACTAGCATTAGACCTCTCAGAAATGAAACAGGGATATCTCTGTCATGGGGATAGTCTGCAGAAGTTCAACCCAACCAAATGCTCTCCAGACATCTAGGGCTTACATGCCAAGAATCCCTTGCTACTGACTATGTTGGCTGAGCTGATGGTAGTTGTGATCCAAAAGATCTAAGGGGCACAATGATGAGAAGGATAGAACAACAGCACTAATTCCTTGATGCAGACTCACAGTATTTGGGACTTCTCAAGCCGCACCAAAATGAACCATGTTTTTGCAAGGAATCTTAAACCCTTGCAACCTCTTTGCTGGTGGTTGCAGGCACCAAGAAACCATATGGAATTTGAATTAAAAGCCTCAAGATACATTTTGTTCCTTCCAAATCCTTTTTTTTTGGTTCCATTGTATCCCTTGCAAAAGCAGAATACTTACTGTCCCCTTTCCTTTAATCTGGCCTGCTTGAGAGGAGGTGTGCATCATCACAATGAAACAATACAAGATCTCTCTCCCATTTCAACCCCACCTACACTGTCATATAATGCAGCTTGAAACTACATTACATGGTAAGTGTAGACTATTGAATTGCATTATATCCTGACCATATAACAAGGTTTGAATCTGAATTATATGGCAGTGGAGATGGAGCTTTCCATGTCCCTTCAACTTTCTTTGCAAATGAGAGGAAGAAAAGACTTTGGTGCAATGGGTGAAATGGTGGTGCAATGGGTTAAGCCCTTGTGCCGGCAGGACTGAAGACCGACAGGTCGCAGGTTCGAATCCGGGGAAAGTGTGGATGAGCTCCCTCTGTCAGCTCCAGCTCTCTATGTGAGGACATGAGAGAAGTCTCCCACAAGGATGGTAAAACATCAAAAACATCTGGGCGTCCCCTGGGCAATGTCCTTGCAAACAGCCAATTCTCTCACACCAGAAGCAACTTGCAGTTTCTCAAGTCGCTCCTGACACATACACACAAAAGTTACCCACGCAGATAATCCACCAAGGCTGTTTCCGTCCCATGTCCTGGTCTGAAGTCGGATTGAAATTGTTACAGTATATGATTTTGTAAGTCTTGACAAGAATAATCTCTTGCATATATGTGTGTGTTGAGGAAGAAC